AAAAATTAACGTCTTTATAATTGCACCGTGTTGTTGTGGAAGAAAAAGTAACTTGATTTCATCGGCCATACTTGATTGCACAGGTACCTTTGATTCAACATATTTCGTAAGCATTTAGGCTTCCAGCATGGTGTAAAATCCATCGAAACACACATTTATTAATGTCTCTATCAACAATGATAAAAAATTTACCCTGTTGATCGTGATTTGCTACACATAGCTGCAGTCAACACATAAAATATGAAGGCATCAACTGCCGTAGTAATAACAGAGTAGTCTATGTATGTATGTGGGTGGTCCATGTTTCATATTTATTAAGCTTGAGATACGATTTAAGGGTTATCTAACCCACGCCTACGTTTACTATAGTATAGCTGACTGACCGGTCATTATTTTGAAGGACTTTAAATTTTTTTTTATTACGTGACGTCAACTTATTCTCCTTACTAATATTATAACTACACTGTTCAAAATTTCATGACCATTTTAAAACCAAATTAACACCATACATGGTCTATATCGATACAAACCAAAATGGTGTTAAATTGGTCAAATTAAATCATACTACACAGAAAAAAAGGAAACAGGAAGTTCCTTGACGCATTACTAGTTCAACTCACTAGATATGTTTTTAGTGCGTTCCACCAACTTAAAATACTTCAAGTATTGACAGCTGTTTCCACCTATTTAAGGTCTGTTTAGTATCGAACAACTTGTAGTGTCACACCAAAGCAAAGGACTACCTGAGCTTATATACTCTTCATGTAAGTCAACAGAGGCGAGATTTAAGAACATCACGTGATCCACACCGCCTTTGCCGCGATCGGCACATACTATGCAACCAGGAATGCACGGCAAATTGTTTAAGCTTTATAGGTTGAAGTAACAAACATATTTAGTAAACTGAACCATACAGCGGGTTGGTTTCACTAAAGTTTTCTGGGTTAATTAAACCAATTAAAAAAATAACTATCTGTTTTAGTACCGTCAAACTAATCTTTGTTTATATTAACGTTCCCGCAGTTGATTTAAATAAATACTTATGGGTCAACTAAATTAATATAGTTAAATGAACTATTCATTTTTTCTGTGTAGGTGCACTTCTCAAATATTTTTGGATAAACACCGTTTTGGAGTTTGCTGTATATTACATTTTCAACCATAATTCATGGTGTTTATATTCACACCATGGATTTAGACACCATTTTAAGATTACTGCATAACGCAACCGTTATTTCATCCACGTGTAATCTGAATTGCCTATATTCAGGCATCCTTACTATTTTTAACGTGTTTTAACGTGTATCATTCGTTTTGTTGCTGCCTGCAATATTTCTTAACTTTACTACAGACTTTTTTCGTTGGTATTAAGTTTCTTATTGTGTAGCTTTCGCAACTTTACTTATTATTGTGTTTTTTCCCTACAAAACGTTTGTTGCAAGAAAGTTTCGTTTTTCACAAAGATATAAACACAACACAATAAAGGAGTAACATTACAAAAACCATTGTCTGGTATAAATATTTGTATACACTTCGTCACGTAACGCAGATTTGTCCACAATCCCACAACAAATAAATTCCAATTTTTGCATGTATTATTGTCGGGTTCTGACCCATGTAACGTGATATTAATAATGCATTGCCTACAATTGAGATATTATCTCTAAATGGTGTCCCCCAGGTAAAATTCAGTACGGGTCTTCTTACGCAAAACATACATTCATACAATTTGATGATTTGTCCGAAAACAGGAAATTCCCCATTTTGTGAGTGACACATCCTGTGAATTAACGAATTTTATAATGGACGCTAATCTTCAATCTATCTGGAGGGTTCATTTAAACTGTGTCACTTTGTTTTTAAACAATGGATGACTTTCAGGTCTGGGTTAATTAAACTAAATTTCATTAGTTTTATGAAATAATACTAGGGAGAAATAAATAATTAGCAAACTCGCTCATGATTTACATCCCTACAGTTATTAAAATATTGCCAACGCAACGGTAATAAAGTCACCTGTGCTGTGAAACTTCTGCTTAGCAAAGGCCTCTATGTTTATATTTATTCATAATGTTGTCTTTGCAGGTGACACCCAGTCTACGGATGTAGCAGGGATCATTATTATTCTATTTTCATACGCAATTCTGTTTTGTCGTGAGTGAATAGTTTGTTAGATATTCATATCTTCCTTCCTTCACTGCCGAAAATGGCACTTTTATCTTTTGAGGTAAAATTATCACACGGAAAAAATTTTATCTAAATGAATTCTTGAAATAATATTGTCAAGGCTAAAACTATCATTAAACTAAATATTAATCTTTCTTCAAACAAGCAGATCTTATTCTTGCCTGCTAAATGTTAAGAAAGACTTTAAATGAAAAATCTTATTCTTAATTTAATATTAACAATCGATTGTTGAAGCTATTTTCCGTGAAGCTCTAATATTCAACATGTATGATTTCTTAAAATTCTTGCATTAGTGCAGAACCACTTATGTTATGTTATTACTAGACCTGGTGGCTTCCCAAAAACCCCATTTTAGACTAACAGTGAAACAACCAAAAAAAATATACATTTTCACTTGGGGGACATCCCAAATATAAACGAAAACTGTATACAAATTGCTATATGCATTTTTCAGAAAAAGCTTCTCAATAAAATAACACAAACTGCCAAATAAGTTACAACAATTTTTCCACGTAGATAAGTATTTAATGTGTATGTTATTGACAATGCATTACCAAAGATGTGTTGACTATTAAATGTTAAATAGAAGAATCTAGTAGACTCATAAACAATTGCCACACCATCGATTGCAGCCGTTTATTCAACGCCAACACGACGTTTAGAGTTTATTCAGTGGAGACTTGTTTTAACCAAAGCGAAATTTAGCATTAACTCGTTTAACACAGATTCAATTTGTTATCATTTTTCCATTTTCAATCCCAATCCTTGTTTGAACACAAGGGTAGAGGAGGAACAAAAGACCCTTTTATTTTTGCCACATAAATCCAGATTCGGCATTTTGATTGAAATTGAAACGTAAAATCAGCGACCCAACTAAAAACTAAACAAAACATTTTAATTAACTTTTAAAATTTTTTGATGGCGAAGAAAGTGATTCCCATGCATATCGAGAACGGGAGAAGGAGGAAGCCGAAAATTTCGTAATTCATATGTAAAACGCTCTAAACCCGATAGCAACAGATATTTATACACACTGCATTGCACCATTTATAAAACCTGGGGGCTTTGGAAAAAACGGCTGAAATACGACCGGGTTTGTGTAGACTGCAAGATTTACTAAAACACCACACACAGAAAATATTTACGAAAAACGATTCACCATGTGTTCCGCTAAAAGATTTATTTACATTTCATAACCAAAAACAACTTAACTGGGTTTTATCACGTGAAACAAATGCATCTGATTTATGCTGAATTCGGCTGAATGAGGAAATAAGCTACTCATTAAAACACACAACATGTCCGCGGTATTAATATTGTCAATATTTATATTATTACCAATTAAATTTTAGTCGAACATGCATAATAGTAGTTTATGATGATCAACCGGTTTTAATTGAATCATTGTCAACAAAAAGGCGGCATCTGGAGTTGTTTCTTGAAATAAGCCACTTTACCTTCTATAAAAAGCAATAAACACAGCAGAGCACACTATGCTTAATTTAAGAATTATTTTTTGATACAAATGTTATAATTCTTGGCGATACAATATCTACTTTTGGATTAAATATAAGGTATCTTTATGTAATTTAAGCAATAATTGCTTCAAATATTGTCTATTCTTTTATGCTATCTCTTTTTTTCTAAGACATAAAGAAAAATATATAGAATAATACACTATTTACCTTTTAAAATAAACATGGTCATTATATTCTAGCAAAAGTAAAAAAAGAATACAGTATTTGAAACAATTATTGCTTAACTTAACGTGAAAAAAATGATATTGGTCAATAGCATTGTCTTTATTAAATAACTTTTTTACAATGTTTCAAATACCTATCTACCTATCGATTGCGTTGGATGTGTTTGATTTACTTAGTGAACTGATATTTTTAGTATGCTTACTACCTCAGATATTTGAAAACATATTGAAAGAGTAACAGTCACGGAGGATAGGTTTTAGACTTTTAAAACATTGTTAAAAATAATCAATTGCGGTTAAAAATCTGGAACCTGAGCTGTAATATCTACTTAATTATGAAAGATCAAAACACAATAAGAGTGTAGGTCAATCTCATTTACATTTATTATTTTATTTATTTATATAAATTATGTATATTTACATAACAATTATTGTTAATCATTTGGTTTGTAGTGGGAAAAAATTAAAAAGTTTCTGTGTGGTCACTAATCAATTATCGCAAATATCTTTGGGCCTAATTATTTAAAGTACTTAGGACCTTTTACTTGTAATTTATGGCCCATAAGTGGCTGTCATTTGGGTTAAGTTGAAAACGTTAAGTGTATCTGTTTTACATCAGGGGTGTTCAAAGTAACCTTTCTTAGAACCATAATTCACCCTGTTCCAGACAAATTGTGAGAAAAAATTCTTGACCAACTATTTTGCTCATATGATCATCAAAGTTTTAGCATGAGTTTGTAGTTTGTTTGTAAAACTTGTTTTACCAAAATCTAAAATCTTTAAACGAATAAAATTTGCCACATGGTCTGTCTTTGCACATTTTTATAAAGCTATTTACAAGAAATTCCCATTTAGAATTTCATTGTTATATTCCACTTCCTCCTTAAAAGAGCAGATACCCCGCTAGGCATTACTAAACTCGTTTAAGTTTGAAACTATTATAAGTAAGTGAAACTTGTTCGAGTATAAAATACGTGACATTCTATATATATTATGTTACTATTATAAAAAGCACCCTGTGGTTCTTTTTTAAAAACGTTACAATTAGACTGTGTTCCACAAGGATCCAATACGTATGCACTACAAATCGAGGGGCTAATAAAAGACTTACCGGTAAGGCGTCGCACGTTTCTATAGGCAACGGATCTTCCGTGCACAGTACCGGATCAGCAGGTTGCAGGAAGGGGGGCCTAGGCGGGGGGGGCATGAAAAATTCCGGAGGGGGCCCGGGGCAATCGCAATCCGGCCCTGCCTCCATGCCCCACATATCCATATCCAGACCTGGCGGAGGCTCTTCTTCTTCTCCAGGCCTGTCCATAGACCTCACGAGATTACTGAGGAAGAAAATTGTTTTTTTTATATTGATTATTAATGATTATTTCCCTCATTATAATATGAACCAATCAAAAGCCTTGAATTTTCGAATAAATTTCGTTTAAATAAGCGATTAAATCACTAGAACTATTTAACAGCGATTAAATTTTAGCCTCCATATTGGATTTTTTTTGACGATTTTATGGTGTTATTTACAAGTTTTAACAAACATTTTTTAAAAAACAATAAAAAATAAGTTATCTAGTTTACGAAATATCAATTATTACTTATTACCTACATACCTTAAATTAATGGAATTTTCTTTAAAAAAATATTTATAAATTTTGACACATTGAATTCGAATTGAATTGAATTGATTTTATGAATTGAATCGTCTAATTTCAAAAGCGGCCATCTCCTTTGAAGAATATTTTAAGTAAACGTCAAAAAAACATTCTAAACAGTAAGGGGTAAAAAATAAATATATTTTGAAAAACTTGTTCATATGGTAAATAAAAATATTTTTTCTACAAAATAAGTAACCAGATTTAAGTTTTAATTAAAAAAAACATATATTTCAAAAGGGAAATGGGCATTTTAAGTACATTTTTGTACTTAAAACATCAATGGAGATGGCCGTTATTGAAACCAACATAAAACATTAATGAATTATTTTCCTTGCAAATAGCCGTTTTTGTTGGGATATAATTTTGAACTAATACCTATACTACGTAATATTTCGATTTTATTAGTGTAAATAACTCATTTAAAAAAAAATTGGAGATGGCCGCTATTGAAATTAGACGATTCAATTGTCAAATAGTTTCCTTTAATTCGAGAAATAATCTAGACGTATATCACTCAACCTATAAATTTAATCTGTCAAACTATGCTCAGTAAGTTTTTTATTTGATTTTTCTTTTTGGAAAATAGTTAAAAATATAACCCCTCGACTGCTACGCGGTCTCGTGATTTTATTAAATTATTTTGCATTCAACATTTTCCAACAAAAAACTACTGAGCCTAGTTTAACCGATTAAATTCATACTTCTCGTGATATAATATATGAAAAAATACCTTATCATTTAATCAATTCAATATAACGCAAACTACTGAGAATTTACGTAAATAGTTCTTCAAAATAAAACAATTATTTCACATTAAGCAAATTTTGTTTACACATCCAGACATATTTACGTTTAAACTCTATTCTGCATTTACTCACTTAAAATCCTATTTATACCCAAATGTCATTTATCTTGTGCAGAAAATTATTTTTTCAAGTCATTACATACGCGAAGAATTTGCTTTACAGAATTACAATACACCACATCTGGTGAGCATGTAAAGTGTCACTTTTAGTTTTGAATGGTCTATTCAGACTGGAGGGTAGCTGTACAATACACTGGTTTATTTGTATGAAATATGTCGTTTTTCGTGAAGTTATGTTCTAGCCCATTATAATTTTGTAAAACATTAAGGTTTGTTTGCATTAGGCAAATTTGATTATCTGCTAAAGCAAATATTTGTAATAAATATGATTGCCGATCAGATAATTTTTTATTAGATTTAATATTAGAAAGCTGATAAAGCCATTAATTTTGTGGTCGATTTTTTTCGTCCAACGATAAATAAGATATCAAAGCAGGTAGATTAAAAAACTCACCATTAGGATCATTTTACCTGAGTTTTGTTTGAAAGTTATGCAAATTGTTCAAGTTGTAAATAACGATTAATTAAAAACTTGTTTTTTCGAATTTGATATTTTAATTTCGGATATCTTAATTAAGGAAACATGGGTTTGTTATCTTCATTAATAAAAGATTTGAACCATGATGTGGTTTTGTATTTTTAAAAGTTCTGAATTGGTCAAAAATGACTAATTGTCATAGCGAAAAAGCAGCCACTAATATTTTTAGTCGATAGCAATTTGTATCCTGATTATTTAGCAGTTATTTCCATGTAAAATTGTCCCCTGAATGCGAAAATGTCGTCAAAAGTTTTTGAGATATAGTTAATTTTCCATATAATGTAGAATTGACTATATCTCAAGAACTGTTCTACTTTTATAATTTTTGACGGTATTTTTGGATTCAGGAGATAATTTTTCCTAAGAATTGGTGGTTAAATATCATAATAACTGTAGTAACTAATAGAGCACTGTTTCCCGAAGTTTGATATTGAAAACAACCCAGTAAGCACAAATACGTCCTTAGGCTGTCCTCGGGACGTCAGCTTGGGACATTGCGGAAGTACTCAGGACGTCCCGCAATGTCCGTTTGACGTCCCTAGGAGGTCTACAGACGGCCAAATGATACACTTTCAGATGTCCGTAGGACGTCCTGATTAGGACTATATCGGGATATACTCAAACCAGCTTATTAAGGTACTGTGAGGGCTTTTTGAGACTTTTCTTTGGAAATCCGCATGTTGTCATGATAACTATACAGGGTGTTCGGAATAGTGCCACTAGCACATTTAAAAGAAAATAGATTTTACCCTTAGCGGCTTGGCATCCATATTTGTTTCAGCCACCCAATATTATTGGATCTTGCTTTTGGTGGATTGTAAAGAAAACATTTTCTTAGCTTTACATTTGATCAGACTTAGAAATTACGTTGAACCAAAAATAAATAACCAAGCCGAAAACCTTGTGTTGCGGCCATGATACTTTCTTCTTCTTCTCTCCCCTTCTTCCGCTGACGGATATGACACTCCCCTAACGGATATTAAACTTACGCGCTAAATTCAAATATTTAAACGTTCCTTACTATGACACCAACAGTTAGCAAATTCGGCAACTTTTGGAGCACTTCCAGTAACGATCGGTACAAAACGGTGGCAGTACAGTCGAAGCCAGCCGTATTCAAATTCAAATATGATATTATGCGCAGAAAGCAAAGTTATGCAGGACGATAAATGACAGGTAACAAATGACAGGTGAGAAATGACAGGTATGACAGGTGACAAATGACAGGTATGACAGGTGACAAATGACAGGTATGACAGGTGACAAATGACAGGTATGATAGGTGACAAATGACAGGTGATGGAAAGTGACAGATATCTGCCGCCTTGTATAATATTACAGGTGACAAATGAAGGTGGCAAATGACAGATAAGACAGGTGGCAGATTATGAAAGGTGACAGATATTTGTCGCCTTGCATCATATGAGTCATATGATATGACAGGTGACAGATATCTGTCACTTTGCATCATTAGACAGGTGACAGATGATGCAAATGCTATACATTTTTTGCCTTTTGGAAAGACGGCATGAAGATATCCAATATATACAGGGTGTTTCTTTTAACTTGAGACAACTCAATATCTCGAGAAATACGCATTTCACGGAAAAATGTCTTAAATAAAAGGTTAATGTGACCAAAGGGGACATTATTTGGTGCTACCGCTAGCCACCCCCTACCCCTCCTTAAAGGTGAAACGGGGGGTAACTTTGGAAAGTCAAATGGAATGACCCGATTTTTTTCACAGAGTTTGGTAGTACATAAAAAAATAAATAACTTTTATTTAAAACTTTTTTCAATTTATCAACAGATGGCGCTGTAATTCAAAATTTAAGAAAAAGGGGTTTCCTTGTAAAATGTATTATTTGAAACGTTTGAAAAACGAAAATTAACATTAAATCACATAGTCGGCTCTGAAAACAATTTATAACAAATGTTCGAAATGTCGTCCTTCCATTTCGACACCAAGTGGAGCACCAGCGTCCCTGGTCGGTAAACGTTTGGTGCGGTACCTTAAGCGAACGATTAATCGGACCCTTCTTTATTGACGGTGCATTAAATGGCGAAAAGTACCGGAATTTTCTAGAAAACGATCTGACGGACCTTTTGGAGGATGTACCACTAGCACGGCTCCAAAACATGTGGTACCAGCAAGATGGTTGTCCTGCACATTATTCAACAATTGCTCGAGAGGTGTTGGATCGGGAGTTCAATGGCCGGTGCACCGCGGTGGATCGGTAGACGTGGTCCAGTAATTTGGCCTGCTCGATCACCTGATCTTACGCCACCAGACTTCTTCCAGTAGGGTTACTTGAAAGAAAAAGTTTACGCTGCAATTCCTACAACTTGGGAGGACATGGTGGAGCGGATCAGAAACGCCTGTGCAGCGATACCGCCCGACATGTTGGCGCGTTGTGTGCCAGAATTCATTACCCGCATTCAAAAATGTGTTGAAATGGAATGACGACATTTCGAACATTTGTTATAAATTGTTTTCATAGCCGACTATTGTTGTTAATGTTAATTTTTGTTTTTCAAACGTTTCAAATAATACATTTTACAAGGAAACTCATTTTTCTTAAATTTTGAATTACAGCGCCATCTGTTGATAAATTAAAAAAAGTTTTAAATAAAAGTTATTTATTTTTTTATGTACTTCCAAACTCGGTGAAAAAAATCGGGTCATTCCGTTTGACTTTCCAAAGTTACCCCCCGTTTCACCCTTAAGGAGGGGTAGGGGGTGGCTAGCGGTAGCACCAAATAATGTCCCCTTTAGTCACATTAACCTTTTATTTAAGACATTTTTCCGTGAAATGCGTATTTCTCGAGATATTGAGCTGTCTCAAGTTAAAAGAAACACCCTGTATATATGTGGTATACTATTTCCATTTTAATTCTATGACGTCCTATGGACGTCCAAGGTACGTCAGAAATGGGATACCCAATATACTATACCCAATTTAATTTCAGGACGTCCCATGGACGTCCAAGGTACGTCAGAAATGGGATATCCTAAACTGGCCCGGACAGACCCAATCAGGATGTCCTTGGGAGGTCGTGTGCTATTTGGGAATATTTCTACACACCTCTGATATTTCCCATAAATCCACAATAACAAATATTTGAATCACAGTAAAATGGCACAAGCACAGTTGCAGCACATAGCACTAAATCAATCGGAGTATAGCACTGTTCCGTAGGATGCAGATTAAATCCAAAAAGGCACAAAATCCGATCGTCTCGCGTAAAGATTGCGAAGCACGCGATGTAAAGTTTCGGTAGACGTGGACGAAGTTGCTAGCACGAAAGCTCTCGTCTAACTGAGGGTTTGTAGCGTACTGCTGGCAAATGCGCTCGGCCAGCTGGATGAAAGGCCCCACTATCGGAACAGACCAATAGGACCGTCTACTACCGATTTTTTCGTGTGAGTGGGGGCTTGATTATGTTATTATTTACTAATTTACAGTTGGTTCGACACAGGTACCTTTTCTCAGGTATCCTGGGCTCTTCTGTGGTCGAGCTTTCGATACTTTTTATCGAGATCAATTTTTTTCCATGATTTAACTTTTTTATATTTTATATTGTTTTTTTATTGTAATAATTAATAATAATAATTAGTTCGATTTTTTCTCGCTAGGGGTATTGTTTTCACAAATTAATCCTTTTCTAAGAAATTAACGTACTAAACTGGTTTAATTTATTTATAATAAGCACTAATTTGTTTGTTTTACTGTTAATGTTTAATATTTTTCATTAAATTATTGTAAAATTAAATATGAATAATAAAACAAAAAGTGAGGTTAGGCAACCAAGAAAACGCACGATTCTTTTTCTACGATTTAAATTATCTTTAAGTTTTAATTTGCTTTAAGTTTTCAGTAAAATTAAATGTTTAACACAGCTTAAACATTCCAAACTACCTATTTTTTAAATAAAAATAAAAAAAAAATTGAAATTAGATACGTACCTATTTATTAAACAATTAATTGAATTCAATGTAATAGCAAAAATCAATTTCTACGTAAATCATATTGTCAAACTATTACTGCTTCTAAAAACAATAATAATTATTGTACATTAATCTTTAGCTAATAAATAAATGAGATTTTAAAAAAGTGAGGTTAGGCCGCTTTGATGTTGAATTAAATTGACCTATATAAAGTGCTTTGAAGATAAAATATTGTATGCCATTCGGCCAAGAAGTGCCTTTTTTCTTTTTATTAAAAATAAGATTAATAATTTTTTTTATATGTATTAAGCATTTTTTTTAAAACACCCCTAAAACTAGTATGATATTTTTCTCTATTTGTTATGAAATTTAATATGTTGGGGATGAAACTGTTTAGTTGAGTTGAACCTTTGTGTATCAATCTACCTGAAAAACATTTTTAAAATTCGACAATAGATGTCGTTAGTGAAGCTAAATATATTGAAATATGATCTTATTCAATATTATAATATATTAAATACATTTTAACAAAATCTATAATAATAATAATAATGAGTATAATTATATTAAAACGTATTAAATTTTGACGCATAAAATATACAAAACCAATAATTAAACTAAAATCATTTAAATTAAACATTAAAACAAATTTTAACAATGGTATATTTTATCATATTTATTATTAATTAAATTTAAACAATTATCTTTAAAAGTATTTTATATCAATTTTAAACAAAATAAAAAAAAATAGGCAGAAAAATTTAACGTTAATTCAGGTTTTTGATGTCCAAACTCGCACAGTGAGATAAATGTAAAAAATGCACAGTGGCACAGATTTAAAAAACGTGCCACTCATTTTTTTTTGTAATTTTATAATCTTTGAAAGCATGGCAAAGGAATCTAAAAATATTATTTATTCCGTATTAATAAATGTACTAATCCCATTTATAATAGGTTTGTATTATTAAATACCCACGTTAACAGAACTAAGTCTTCGCATTAGTAGTAGTATTACGTATTATGTTAAAAATCTTATTGTGTAATTTTGAGGATTACGCGATAAGCGGCTACCGGTCCTTTACCTGAGGCAATCCATTCGAATCTTTGTACTACAGTGTAAGTAAGCAAAAACTAATTCAAGAAAAATTAAGGTGAAAAAATTCTTAAAAGTAATTTTATTTAATATTATAGTTGGCTTCGCTCTGCTTAAGGTCAAAGGTCAAATTTCAAAATTTCAATTACATAACAAAATAAAACACTTTTATATACATCGTCTTCAAAAGAAGAAAACCTGAAATAGATTGGAAGATTTGACAAAAATCAAAAAAATATTTATTTTCTAAAAAAAAAATCTGGTAGAAAAATCCCAAATTGTGGGGATTTTTTAGGTTCTGGAAATTTTTGGGAAAGGTCAAAGGTCAAATTTCAATTAGGTAACGAAACAAAACACTTTGATATATCAAAAAAAGACAACCTGAAATAGATTGGAACATTTGACAAAAATAAAAAAAAATATTTATTTTATTTCAAAAATTATAAATTTCTTCTTTTGGTAAAAAAATGGTTCTGAAAGTTTTTGGTAGAAAAATTCCAAATTGTGGGGATTTTTCAGGTTCTGGAAATTTTTGGAAACGTCAAAGGTCAAATTTCAAAATTTAAATTAAAACACGAAACACTTTTTATAAAAAAAGCCTGAAATAGATTGGAACATTTTACAAAAATCAAAAAAAAATTTTTTTTTTGCAAAAATTAAAAAATACTTTTTTGGTAGAAAAATCCTAAATTTTTTATATAAAAAACCTGAAATAGATTGGAATATTTTACAAAAATCAAAAAAATATTTATTTTCTTGCAAAAAAAAATTGGTAGAAAAATCCAAAATTGTGGGGATTTTCCAGGTTCTGGAAATTTTTGGTAAAGGTCAAAGGTCAAATTTCAAAATTTCAATTAGGTAACGAAACAAAACACTTTTTATATACATCGCCTTCTATGATATATCAACAAAGAAAACCTGAAATAGATTGGAACATTTGACAAAAATCAAAAAAACATTTATTTTTTTTGCAAAAATTAAAAAATACTTTTCTGGTAGAAAAAAAATTGGTAGAAAAAAAAAATCCTAAATTATGGGGTCAAAGGTCAAAGGTCAAATTTCAAAATTTCAATTACCTTCGTAACAAAACAAAACACTTTTTAAATACATCTCCTTCCATTCAAAATAAAAATAAAAAACATACATATATATGTATAGGTAGGTATGTTTTGGCTTCTTCTTTACTTTTTCTTTTAAACTTTTGCCTTAAAAACCATTTTATTTCGTTAAAAAGATGATTTTTAAAGGTAAAATCTTTATGAATTTGTATTATTGTTTTTATCTACTCCTATTGCATAATATTTTTTTTTTTTCGATTATAATTATAACCATATATATTCTCTGCCTAGCAACGGGAGTAATGAACTCATTATTCACGTTGTAAGGCAGTGTTAGGCAGGTGTTAGGCAGTGATTGGCCAATTTCAATATTCACTGTGATTTGAACCAATCAGGTTTTAAATTGGGAGAAGGCAACTATAATAATATTTAAAATTGGTAGAAAGTAAGGTTAACCATTTGACAGATGTCAGATTTTATTGATTTATTTTTGAAAATCATTTAATTATCTACTTATTTGTCTCTCGTACGATAATATACAATTTTTTAACCTGTTTTACAGTATCCATAATGTCACTATTCTGTTTCTTTTTATATTATAGTAAATGGATTAAAAACGATAATAAATACATTATGAGTACTTACCTCTTCTACTTGTACGCAAACAAATTACCTGTATATTCGTGTGTTGTAGCATGGCGTGTTACAAATATTCTACAATTTATTTGACGTATTACAAGCATTGCAGTATCTGTTTGCATTTTGTGTCGGATCACAAAACGATATTCAATAAATGAACTTAAACATACATCAAAATAATGTAATACCTATTATTATTACCTGCAGGTATATGTATAGTAATTTTCGTTCAAAATATATTATGGATGTGAGAAAAATATGTTTCATTTTTAATTTAATTTGTCAACACAACTACGCCCGAAAGTTAAACGCAATGATATCAATAAATAATGAACCATGCATACGGTAGATATATGGAGGACAAAATTCGACGTATATTGGTGGATATTTATTATAAAATGTCCAGCCCGTTTAAATTGTTCATAATGTTTCCATGTAGAGTCATAATTTATTTGCTTTTTATCGTAGATATTCACTCGTTTTAATATTAATTGCATTCGCCATTATTGTTTTCGGCAAACAAAATATTCCGCAAAATTTATTGTTAGGAAACTGTTTTGGCAAAAATTAAACTACCGCATTGAGTTTTATTAATTTCCACTTTGATTTATTACACTGATCAGCAGTCATTTTGCAACTTTTGTTAATGTATTTTCAAATGAGTCTGTAAAATAGCTCTAGCTAGCTATAGCTAGGTCATATAAATGTCATATATATGTCATATATATGTCATATGTCATATATAGGTCATATATTGTCATTACAAACATGGGTATTAGTTTCTGTATTATGTATTTGCACAACAGAACATTTTTATGTGACAATATTGGTCAATTAGTTGTTACTTTGCCATTCATTTAAATGAAATTAAGTTGTAAAAAACTTATCATATTAAACAGACGATTATTAAACCATATTATTTTGACACAAAGAAATCAGTTTTTAACCAATAAATTTATTTCTTTCAAATATTTTCTTTTTAATTTTTATTCCCCATGAAAAAATCCTGCACACGGCCCTTGTAACGATAATGGGCGTTTTACAGGTGGTAGTAGAATAATATTTTTTTCAATGAATATTCCAATAAGGCAAGTTTGTTTGTTTGTTTAATTCTGGCTGTTAGGATTATCGGTCCTATGCAAATTTGCAATATTTAATTGAATTAAATTACTTAAAGTAATGTGGATTGGAAACCCTTAATTCGGATTAAAAGCTCGGGGTGTCCCTAGATATACATAGTAATATTTATATAACCTTAATCCATAATCTATGTGGTAGTATTCAATTTGTTTAATGAAATTAAATATTGTAGAAATTACAGTAAATTATGTTAAATTTTTTTTAGGAAATTCTGATTGTAATTATATTATGAAAGATCTGAATAATGTGTTAAACTTGTAATCATACAAATAAAATTTACTTAATGACTTCCAAGTAAAGTTCAATTTCAACAATTTAAATAAAAATGCTAATTGGACTTTTAAGTTAAATTTAAGTTATTTAAACAGCAGGTGTTCTAAAATTCTTAAAATTCGATTTTTTGTAAGAGATAAAGTATTTATACAGACAATTTAAGATATACAGGATAATTTAACGTCAA